GGCAGAAGTGCCTGTTTGGCTGCTGCACGGCTGCCATCGAGATGCTTCCAAGTTTTGCATCCCAGCTCTGGACGCTTCCAAGTTTAGCATCCTGGCCCCGGCCTGGAGCGGAGCCCACAGGCATGCTGCCCCTCTGGCACCACTCACACTGTGGGGGTTCAGCCACAAGGAAGACACGTGGGATCCCCACGGCCCACTGGTGCCCTGGGAGGGGCCGGTTTGACCCTTGAAGGTCACCTGCCCTTAAGCTGGAGGGCAATTCAATCCCTCCCTGCCATGTGGCAGGTCTTGTGCATATCCCATGCAAGACCTGGAGCCCCGGCGCTGGTGAGCATGCCAAATCAGTGCTCAGCGCAGAGCCGCCTGCACACTCCAACCAGGCGGCACTGGCAAGGGGTTGGCACCTACCGGTTAAAGATGTCATCGTCCTCTCCTCCCCAGCCCCAGTACTCATTGGGAAAGCCATTGATCTTCAGGAACTGGGACTTGCTTAGCCCAGAGACACCACCAAAGTAGCCAGCGTAAGGCAGCCTGTAGGTTGACAGAGAACAAGTCAGCCCCAGGGACAGGCAAGGGACAGGTCAGACCCATGGGAAACCCAGGGATAAGCACCAGCTTTTCACCATGTCACCCTCCTACCCAGGGCTCTTTGCCCTTTCACATTCTGTATCTGCAATTTGAGCCAACAACCCCATGCCTGCCCCAGCTCATGTGTGAGTTTGGTGGCCCCAGTGGTATCCCGGTGAGGCCATCCCAGCCCTGCCCAAGTGGAAACACCCCAGCCCCCCCAGGGCACCCACCTGAACCCAAACTTGTCCATGCCAACGGCAAAGTGCCGTGGCTGCTCATAGCAGCGATAGAGGTTGCGGTCGTCCATGGGGATAAGGTCCACATCGCTGAAGATGAAGCAATCGTACTCCTCATCGTCCTTCAGCGCCTCCAGGAACCCCACATTGAGCAGCTTGGCCCGGTTGAAGGTGTCCTCGCCAAACTGCAGGGCAGAGCTCAGCGATTCCTGCCTGCCCGTCCCAGCCCCACCACCCCCTCAACCCTGCCCACCTCACCTGGTTGATGATGTAGATGCCATAAGCCACCTTCTGCCGGCGCAGGATGGGGTGCAGGTAGTGCAGCCAATACTTGAGGTGGTGCTCGCGGTGCCGGAATGGGATGAGGATGGCCACCTTCTGCCGGGGCAGGCAGTCTGTGGGGGTGTACTTGCCACCCTGGCGCACATCAGGGTTCTCCCGCTGCACTCGCTCCATGCTCATGGGAGAGCTGAACTCGATGAGCAGGCGCCCGACTGGAAGGAGGAGGACAGGGTGATGCCCCCAGGACAGGACATGGTCAGTGTCATGATCACCCGTCACTCCAGGCCAGGCTGGCAGAGCAAACAGTGAGGAGGACTTGCAAGGGGGACCCACACTGCCAAGGACAAAGGACACCCAAAATCTTTCCCAGAGGCAGAGAGACTGGGCAAGCTGCTAACAAAACCTGAAACCAGCTGTACTGGTACCAGTTCCAGGTTGTGATTTCTCTACTACTCTACACCTGGGACAACTGGGAAGGCGTGCCCAGAGCCCAGGGGACAAGGATACAACCCATGGGCACCCAGCTTAGCCCCACACTTGAACCCAGAGCCCGACTCTCGCCCCATGCTCACCCCACACGTCTCACCTAAGCCGGGAGGTGTCTCCTGGCAGGGCTGCAAGGGCTTCTCGGTGGCAGACTGGTTGGTGCTGGGCTTGGTGCTGGACGACGGGGCCTCAGCACCAGCTGGGCCATAGCTGGGGACGGTGCTGTTGAGGCGAGAGGAGTTGGAGAAGGGGTGGGCGCGCGAGGAATTCCTGGCGTTGAAGCGGCTGAAGAAGTCCAGGTGCTGCGCGTAGACATCGAAGTAGAGGATCATGATGATGACGAAGTGGAGCAGGCAGAGCAGCAGCACGGCCTTGCAAATCCTTTCCAGGGTCACCCCCAAGAGCAGCCTGGTCATCTTCTGGGCATAGGCAGGCGGACATGTGCGCTCAGCAGGGCAGGGGGCCGGCTCCAGCCACGGTTCTGATCCTGGCGAGACAACCCATGCTCAGGACACTGCCAGCCTGAGCCCTCAACCCCAGGCTGAACAACTGGGGCAGCAGGAGCCACGCAGACCTGATGGGCTCGCAGGTCAGTAATGCCAGACAGCACCCCAGGGGATGCTGCACTCAAACCCCTGCTCTGAAGGCACAGCCATGAAGACACAAGAGGTCCCCAGCCCCATGCAGAAAGTCTTCTCCCTGCTTGCCAAGGCCAGGCCAGACCTACTCCACACACTCCTGTCACCCTCCTAGCAGTAGCTGGGGATACCCCCACGGGTGACTCAAAGAGCCTACATGGAGGCTGGGCCCTTGGAGAAAGTCATGCTCTCCATAAATGCAGCCAGACTGGGTTGTGCCAAGGGCACACCGGGTGCCCCCAACAGCCGCTCCTTTCTGAGGCACCCTGTTTCCCTGCTCCCCATCTTGCTCCCCTCTCAGTGCTGTGCCCCAGCAGTGGCACTGAAGTGGGGCCAATGGCAAGGGCCCTCCTTGGGGCACCCAGTGGGGCCAGCAGCTGCACGGCAGACACCAAGCCAAACCCAGCAGGGCGTCCAAGTCCCCTGGGTGGAGGTTTCTACTGCATCCAGTGAGGTCCAGGTTACAGCCAGTGCTGTGGGTTCCGTCTCCTTCTGCTGCCAGTGACAAGGCCCCTTGGGATGCTGGGAGCCACTGGGAGCCAGGGTCCCCTTATCTCCCACATGACACCTGGAGCTGGGCCAGAGCCCTGCCGGGAAGGCAGCCGTAAGAGTCACCAGAGAGCCTCGGCCGAGCCAAACTGTCTGGCCCTTCCCCGCCTTGCCACTACCAGAGCTCTGGCTGCAGCACAGCTGTGTGCCCCAGTCCCTGCCCTGGTCCCTGATCTCCAGGAAGCTGCTAGAAAAGGGCAAGGCAACCCCAAGGGACAAGTTTGGGGGCTTGCAAGGCCCTGGGGACCCTTGGACACACCAGTGCCGCTGAAGGGACCCTGGAGGGACTCAGGTGGGCAGGAAGTTGTGGCAGAACCCCCTGGCAGGAGCGCAGCTAGGACCTGAGGGTGCTGGCAACTGGCCCAGGGCCTGGGGCCGGCCCACTGGCAGCTGCCAGCACTGGCTGGTGGGGCCCCTAGGGAGCCACAGGGCACAGAGTCAGCAGTGACAGCAGCACTGGGAGGGAGTGGGGATTGGAGTAGGAACCCCTGCCCAGCTCCACCCTGGCTGCCCTCTCAGCCGCAGTGCCGACCCAGGCAGTGAGGTGCTGGCAGGAGCCCACTACAGGTATGGAGCTGCTTGAAAAGGCTCCAAGCTTGATGCCCCAACTGTGGCCACCCTCCGTCTCTCTGCAGGACGCACGGCGAGGTCCCCGTGGGCAGAGCCTCTTGGCAAACAAAACTCCAACCCCTCTCTATTTTTTTTTTTTTCTAGAAAGTCACCCTCTGTCAAAAAGATGGTTTTGCTGTTATCTCCCAAACATTCTCATGGTCACGGGGCCCCATCACCCAGCACAGCCCTTGATGTAGGTACCTACCAGCCCCCGGCACCTGGCAGAAACCCTCCCCAAAACCCCTTGCAGCAGGCAGCAGCATGTGGCACAGCAGCATCTTGACAGCCAGGCAGGGAGGTGCTAGGGTAAAATAAGAGTGGGTTCCAGAGGCCCTTTTGCAGGACGGTCTACGAGTCAAGTAGAGAGCGATGTTTGATGGGAACAAAAGCGAAGCACTCCATCGAACGGTGGCCACAGGATACCACGAACACAAGTGGGTTTAAAATCACAGGCTAAGCAGGGGTGCTACAAAATATGATGTCATCTCCTCCCGACGGGAGCTGCTTTGTGGGCTGCGGGAGGTCAAAAGTAACCTGGAGCTGAGGAGCTGGTCCACAGGGATACACCCTGGTGGGATGGGTGCCACGGAGGCTTGTGACGCTTGTCCATATGGAGTTGTGGGGGGAGCCGACGGTCTTGGGGCCGTCCCCGGGGCCATCGATTCACCCCACGCCTCTCTTCTCCGGGCAAAATCGGGGCGAGGGGGCCGCACTGAAACCCGACCAACCCCCACAAATTTCCCCAGTCCCCGACACACACACAAACTTACTAAAAAAACAGAAACAACCTCAGAAAGCCTCTTTTTCCCGAGCCGGGGAGGTGCCCACCGCAAGCGGCCGGGAT